TTTTAAAGGTTAAGCTCAGATTTTCAGCAAGATGAGTTTTAGATGAAAAACAGTCATTATTTGGAAGTTAGCTGCTTCTCAGTGTAGTCGCTCCCTTTGGGTTTCTACGTGTCGTTTCAGTCCATGGGAAGATGGCTATATTTAGGGTTCAAATTTTGCCACTTAAACCATTTTGAAAACATTAAGTATAAACACATTTCTATTAAATACTTCAAGTGTTTGCTGTTAAAATGGCTGCTTTCGAACTGTGAAATTGAATCTTTAGTCTTTTAAATACTGTACATAGGCAAATCTGATTCACATGAATTAAGATGCAGTATCACATAACAACAGTAGGGTGCGATGTTGCATAACTAAACTGACACAAATGCTCATAATGTCCCTTGATCAACATATGCTGCCTCTTGTTGATGACAAAATATTTCAGCATATTTTTGCCTTGTTTAGCCTGAATATTTTGTTGCTAACATATATATATATATATATTATATATTTATTATATAGGTATTTCTATATTATATTATATTATAAATTATATAACATACAAATGCATTAAAATGTATTTATTTTAATTAAATAGATATTAGATTTTAATATAATATTAATATTGCATAATTATATAATATTACATCTCTCTCTTCTTCTATTTCACTTTCCCCTGCCCTCACTTGCCTTTTCTTGCTCTTGTACCCTTAAGGGCATATTTGTGACGATTGTGGTTATTTTTCGGCATTAAAGGTTTAATTAATATCAGGGTCAAAGGGATACGGCATCCGTAAATTAAACAAATGAACAGCAAAATAATATGCGGTTAGTTTTGGTCAGGTTTACAAGTCTTCAATGCATTTAGTAAGAGCACTAATACAACTTTGATAGTGTCTAATTTTGGACTATTTAAAGATACATACTTTATATTTGTCTGTTAAACCTGTGACACGTCTATAATTCTGATATTTTACATTGCCAACCCCGACCAGACAAAGATTTCCAATAATACACTGCACCACTCCTGATTGCTGCTGGAAAAGTATTCGTGTTTATAAGGAAAATCCATCTCTTTTCAGGAATTTGTTTTCAACCACACACATTACAATAATTGGTTGCTTTTTAAAGAGAAACTTGATCCAGTGTGTGTGTGGATAATTATACAGCTTTTGGTTTTTCTCTAGAAGAATTTTCTTCCCCCTCTTCTCTTCTCATGTACTTAGTCACAAACTCAGCTCCTTTTAAATGTGGAGCGGCACACCCACATAAACACACAAACTCACACGCACTCAGCCAGACACTAATCAATGTAACCACAGTGAGGCTGATTGGTTTACAGACACACGTTTATAGACCAGCCTCCACACATCCCAGTATGTCTTATTGGCCAACAGTATTTAGTTTGTTTGGACAGCTAGCAGTCCTGGCTAACCACTGCTAATTAGGCCCCATAAAGCTGTACTGGAATAAACAGTGCATGCTAGCTGAGCTTTAAATCAACACTCGCTGTATGCTGAAAGGAACATAAATTACATTTTAATTGCTCCAACTAATTCCACGAGGAACATGTTTGCTGAGATCAAAATGATCATAATTAAAAATGCTCCGTTTCATTTCATTTCTCATCCCCTTTTTTGTACCGTCATGCAGGGTAGAGAAATGATGAAATATCCCTCTCATTAAACACTCTTTCTATGTTTCTTGATGAAGTGTAAGGTAAGATTAAATTGCTTTATGAGAATTATGAAATAAACCTACTTAGCCATGTGTAGACCAATTTACAGCCATTGGCGCTAAGACCATATGTGGTAATCATCTGTGAGCATACCATGACAGTTAGATCTTTCAAATCTTATAAAGTTTGAAAAAACTTTTAATGTAAAAAACAGACTAAGCTTAAAGGGACAGTTCAGCATAAAATGAACTGACAAGCTCCAAAAAGGATAAAAAGCACCATTAATTAGTCTTTACGACTCATGCACATCTTATTCACTGAAAATTGATCTCTAATTGAAGTATGAGTAAAAATAATGGCGACAGCCTCTCTGATACTAAACTTGGATTGATTCTCAAATGTACAATGAAAAAAAAAAAAAAAAGGGGTAGGATTCACTGAAGCAATTTTCACACAGAAATTGCTTGTAAATTATAAAATAACAACAAAGAAACAGCAAAGTAACACATTGAATTAAACATGAAATTTTGACTGAAATAGTATTTTCTTGTAAAACACACTCCAAAAATCATTTTATGCACTCCCATAACAAATGTCAAATTAACAATTTTACAATTTTTACAGCATTCAGTAACCTTACATAAATTCTTTCAGAATTATGGACGCTAGACATGAACTTTGGTGGAGACTGAAATAACACAAAGAATGAATAAGTATTGGAATATAATGTACAAGTTGTTTGGACTAATTTATGATAATTTACATTTTGCATGAACTATCCCTTTCAATTCTCCTCAAACTCTTAAGGGCAAAAAAGAAAGATAGAAGCCCAGAGGCTGGAAAACCTGATAAGCACAATGAGCCTTCCAGATACTTTAAATGTCTTTATTGAGACACATTATTACAGTGCATTTATCTATTCTGTCTGGAGTCACTCCGAACCACATGGAGCATGCTGGAACTATTACATATCTAAATTTACAACACTGTTCTAAGTCCAAGGCCATATTTTGTAAGCTATCTATCCATAGAGCTGCCTACAAACTCAGTTAACATACCAAAACTCTCACACAAACATACAGCGTACATATACAGTACATAACCGACTGCATGTAGAGACTGCATCCATGCCAAGCTTTTTATTCACAACATATCCACACATAAACAAACAGCAATTCACACCACTTTACACAGACTTCACTGTTGTCTGAACATGTGCAGGCTATGATATCTTTCCTGTGCCAGTGGTATTTGTCTGTAACTAATATGGAGAGAGAATTTTTCTCTCCGCTGGCTGGCTCACACAGCCAGTTGTTTTCCATTTGTAGAAAAGGCAATGCTGTCTTTTTCGTTTTTCCTCCATTTGTCAACTTTTGAACGCACATCTCTCATCACAGTTTGTTAATTGTTCCACATGTTATGGCTGAGCCAGCGAAAGCACACAAATGCCTCAGCCCACTAGCCTATACTGAGCCATGAATGCGGCTGCTGACTCTGTATATTTAGGTGGAGCGCGGAACACAGCTGGCCCAATGCATGGGGCTGGTGTGTATCTCAGGGAACGGCTGCAGTGGGTGACTGTGGGGAGTTTGAACATGATGGGAGGTCTCCGAAAGGTCAGGAGAGGAAGAGGCCACTGTCATGTGCTGCCGTCAGCTCTCTTTTTTGCTCTGTTTCACAGAGACGTGATCATAAAGTTGATTTTTTCACAGAGACTTGATCATAAAATTGAGTTAAAATTGAGTAAAAACAAGAAAAAGTGACAGAAAGACTAGCAAACAGACAGATAGAGAGACAGATAGAGAGATGGACAGACAGAACGATAGATGGATGGACAGACGGACAGATGGACGGACGGACGGACGGACAGATAAGACAGATAGACAGATAGACAGATAGATAGATAGATAGATAGAAAGACAGACAGACAAATGTAATGACAGACAGACAGACAGACAGATAGACAGATAGACAGATAGATAGATAAAAAGACAGATAGACAAAT